AATTCCAAACAATTATTATAACATCGGCCAGTGAGAGTGATGCCAAAGACAACATTCAAATATACCCACATTTTAGGGGCGAAGCTTTAGGGGCTAGCCATGTCCCACCGTGCCATGTCCGTATGTCCGTCCGATGTCCGACGTCGGATGCTCGTGCTCACGAGCACGTGAGCGCGTGCTCCCGTGCTCGTGTAGGGCAAAAAAAAAAAAAAAATAAAACCGTATCTCCACGTGGTGAATGATGTTGATTGGGGCGAAGCTCTGGTGGTGCTTGTCTGTGTAGACGGTGAGCCGCAGCATGCCGAGCCTTTCGTTCTTTTTCGTCCATGTCAGAAAGAGAACGTGTGGTATGGAACGTGGTTATATACGCATTTGAGCATTTGACCGGCTCAGCGTCTACGCAGATAAGCACCACCAGAGCTTGGCTATAATAAACACCATTCACCACATGGAGATGCGGTTTTTTGAGTTCCGTGACGTCAGCGGGCAGTCTAAAAATTGACTATGCCGAGCATTTGTTTCGTCCTGCTGTGCAGGTGCTGGAGCGAGCTTCCAAAACATTCCTTTCACACCATGAAACCGCCTGTCTAAAGTCCAAAAAGCGAACCTCTGCATCCGCTGATTTCACTTTTACATTATTGCCAGATGAGACTTTCATTTTAAAAAAACAGGGTGAGGACCAAAAATGTAAATTCAATAACTTCGTGAAAAAAATATTTATGCCCAAAATTTGGGTTACTATTTTAGCGATGTTTGTTGGTGTATATAGCAAATATTCGGGTAAATCGGGAATTAATCGTTTCCTAAAAGGTTTCCTCATAAAAAAACCTATAATTTCTTTTCATTTTAATCTCCTTTTTGTGATGCAAAAGAGGTCTTCATCGGGTGGTTCCTGTTTTGACTTATTCCCATCTCAACCTTCCCGCTTGTACCTTCCCCTTTCGACCCGGCTCAAAACAATATTCTCGTTTCATCTTTTCCTGTCTCGTTCTATCCCGAAACAACTATCCCACTTTGACCATTTCTAGTTATCAGTTGGTTTAGCTTAAAATTTAAATGTCTCTCTTCCTTGGTGACCCCATTGCGCCCACTCCCGAAACAACCTTGAAGATTCAGTCACCAGCAGTCACTCTTCGCATGCTTTTCTGGTGCTTATGGTGCCTGCGGTGCTACAAACGAGCATAGTGCTTATCACTGTCACCGGCGCAGGATGTCTTCGTTCGTCATCTTTCAAATCCAAAAAAAGAAGTAGTGTTTATATTTAGATGAATATAAGTTTCATGAGAAACGTTCGAATACGAACAGAACTGTCGCGTGGCGGTATTTCAGCCATGGTTCATCCCGCTACCCCAGTTCAATCCTGACGGAAGCGTCGTGTTCGCTGTAGCAGTGCCGCGCAGTGTATATGGTACGTTTTGCGGTTGCACGTTTTAAGGACCACCTTAAAAAAAAAGAAAAAAAAAAGAAAAGAAAGAAGTTTCAAGCGGTTAAAATAGGAAGCTTGTCTGAAATGTATATTTTAAAAATACGTTAGCATGCAAAAAGATTTCACATCTTCTTCAGCAGAAAAGGTGCGCCGGCCAGGATGAGAACGATGGAGACTTTTCGAGAAGAGATTGAGACGTGCAGGGCCTTTTACGTTGAAATGGGGCGTGTTCAAATAAGAAGGGCGCCTTGGGTACGGGTTGAAACGGGACGGGTTGAAATGGAAATGGCATTTCGGAAATGGATCGAAACGGGGCGGGTTCAGACGGGAAGTTTGTTTTAGGACGGGCTCAAACGTGTAGGTCATTTCGGGAATGGATCGAAACGGGACGTGTTAAAACGGGAATTGGTTGCTTCGGGCTGCATCCTCTTCACCGCCCGGTTGCTTTCCTAGTGCGCCAGGGGGCGTAGTGCTTAAAGCGAAACTGTCTTTCACGAAGTGAAAGAAGTTCTTGGGGCATCGAAGGACCTTCCGAGAACGGAGTTTTTTCTAGAGTATCTCAGAAATGCTTGAACTGCTGATGAAGGCATTGGCACGAGCCCGTGGCTATGAAAAGTGCCTGTTATGATCGAGTTCTCAGCGCGAAAACAAAGCGTTCTATTGAACTAGATTCGCGCGCCTATGCTTTTGTCTGCGCTGCAGAAATTTGGGAGGTGGAGTACAGACGTGATTGGGTACGTCCCAAAGATAAAGATGCCGAGGCATGCCCGATCGTGGTGATGCTGGGGTGTGTTCGAATATAAAGATGGTCAGGCATGCACGAACATGGTGATTACACTGAAATATGTTCGAATGGGGAGACGCTCGGACATGCACGAACGTAAAGATGCTCGGGCATGTTCGGGCGTGTAGAAGATTGAGGCATGTCCAATTATGGGGACACTTTGAAATGCCCGACGTGTAGACATCAGCTATCTCAGAAGAAACATATATTCGGGTATGTCCCAACTTGTAAGTGCCAAGGGATGCACGAACATGGAAATGCTCGGTTATTTGCGAACGTGCTGGTGGTTGGATATGCCCGAACATGTCACTGTCACGCATTCCCGACCACGTCTTCACGTTGTTGTCTTCAAGTTGATACCTGATTATAACGAACAGGGCGAGTGAACGTTTTGCGCAGGCGCCTTCATGGTCCCGTATATTCTGCTCCTGATGTTCGTGGGAAGACCGATGTATTACCTGGAACTCATCCTTGGTCAGTTCGCCGGGAACGCCCAAGCGGGAGCATTCGGTGGCTTCCCGCTCGCAAAAGGTACATCGCCGGAGACCACACGGGATGATTCCCACCTGGGCAAAGAAGCACTACCTCTCACTTTCTTACTGATCAGATTAGATGGACAGTTTTTGGCAAAGTGAACAAATTACTTTATTTGGGAAATGCATATCACTCCCGAAACATTCGATGGCCTTTTGGAGGACAGGTTTTGCGCAATTTGAACGGCCGAATGCGCCGCAGCTTTGGGGTTTCTCCATTTGAATTGGGAGGATGGCGGTTGTCATCTAGACTGGGCGTATCGAACGCTTGGTTTACAGGGAGGGAAAGGGGGAGGAGGAGGGAGAGGTAAACACGCCTCAATGATTCTCGCGCCAGCATCAAGTCGGCTTGCAAATTCGCTTAAGCAGCGGTCGCACTGCTAATACATCATACAATATAGTTGGTCTTTTTAGACTTGGGCTAGGTGGCGCGAGCTACCACCCGTTACAAAGGGTATAGCCACAAACATTCATCCATTCATCTGCAGACAGTTTTACAACTGTCTGCAGCCACGGTCAAAGCATACATAAGGGTAATCGAAAAATACTGTCCCGCGCTTGAAACATCGATTTATTGTTATTTTCTCGCATTCGAGCTCGCCGATGGTGTTTTCTTTTTTTTTCGCGTTTTCTTTTTTTTTGTTTGTTTTAGAATTACTGTTTTCGGTGCAATTTTGTACCAAATGTTCAGGAATAGTGGTATCTGCAAAAGACCATGCCGCTGTTTTCGCGCATCACAAGCGGGGAATGCCCAATCCGGACATCGCCAAGCTCCTAACTTTCGAACGCACACAGGTCCGTTGTGTCGTCAAACGTTTCCAAGAAACTGAAGGGATTAGAGACCGGCAACAGAATGGAAGATCCCGGAGAGCCAGACCCCCTGCGCTCAACAGCATGGTAATAAAGAAAATCCAACGAAATCCCCAAAGAAGCATCCGGAAACTGGCCCAGGAGCACGGAGTTGGCTACGGAACCACGCGGGAACTTATCAGAGAATACCTGCAACTCGTCCCCTACAAACTTCAGAAAGGAGAGCTTTTTGACCAGAACACGGCATCAAGACTGGAAAAGTGCAAAAAAAAAAAAATGAAGACTCTGAGCCGTGGCGACGTCCTGCAACGAATACACTCCATAGGTGAAAAGATATTTACCTTCGAACCGCACCGAAATTCGCAGCATCAACGCGAACTGTTCCGCGAAGGAGCTCCGCGGTTGTCAACGCGGAAAATGTAAATTTTCCAAAGTCGGTCATGATCTGGGCTGGGATATTAGGATTGGGCAACACCAAACTGGATTTTTGTCCCCAAAGAGGTGAAAATTAACGCAGAAACCATCCGGGAGCTCATTCTGGAAGGCACCGTCATTCCTTGGGCCGAGGAGAACGCAAAAAACATCGAATGAAGGGAGCTTTCAGCAAAACTGGGCTCCCGCCCACGGAGCCAAGAGGATGCTGCAGTGGTGTGAAGCCCATCCCCCACCTTCTGGACGAAAGATGTTTGGCCATCAAACTCCCCCAACTTGAATCCGTTCTACTACGCAGTCTGGAGCATTATGAAGCAAAAAGGCATGCGCAATTGAGCACAAGTCTGTTGAGTCCCTTAAACGCGCTCAGAAAAAAAGCCTGGGATGAAATTACGCCCCAAAATGATTGCAGCAATTCTGAAGAATTTTCGGAAGTGTTTGGGCGCCTGTATCGCAGCAGAGGGAAGCCACTTTGAACGGTCTTCATTATAGTACGTCCATCTATGCAGAAGTGTCTGCTCTTACGAATGATGCATAAAACAGGTTTTTTTTTGCTTGTTAGCTGAGGGAAAAGTTATATCTGTTTTTTACGCGGGACAGTATTTTCCGATTCCCGTATGTAAGGAGCCAATATGCTGCGAATGAGGTTGAGGCTTGTCCACGGATAATTCTGTCATCATGTCTGCGGAGAACTCTGTGTCCTTGATACGTTGCTTGAGAGGTGTGTCTCCGGCTCAATACTCTCATCGGGTAAGCAAATGTGGGAGCTGGACAAACGCTGTCGCGTGAATAAATGATCCCTCGTTTACCTAAACTTCAGCCCTTTCCCTCTGTTTCTCTCCCCCCCCCCCCCCCTCCTAGTAAACCAGACATTGTGACGTCCCAGTAAACGCGCCAATGAGAGTGTCCAGATGACCTTGGTGACCTATTCCGCGAGCGTTTCGTAATACGCTTCCGGGCACCATAGTTTACTCATACCTTAGGGTTTCTGGTTGACGCAGGCATTGGATGGGCCATGGTATACGCCTGCACCTTTATTAGCCTCTACTACAACGTCATCCTTGGCTACGCCCTTCTCTACTTCTTTTATTCCCTCCGCAAGACGCTTCCCTGGACCGTCTGCGACGAGGCCTGGGCCGACGACAACTGCTACGTACAGAGGCCGGGCATCGTGAGTTGAAACCTTACTGACTCTATACGGTGGAACCCTTCATCTGTTCCCGAAAGTTCGCTACCTTCATATGAATACCTATTCACATATCACTACCTCAAAATCTACTCAAGGTGCCTCAACCTTCGAGAATATCCGATTATAGAGCAAGGCAGGGCTGGGCAGTATTGCGATACAATGTATCGCAATAGTACCGCACAGATACTTTCGTGTATTTGTATCTATATATTGTGAGACACTTGATAAATGTATTTATATCTTGTTAGTGAAATATGGTTTACAATGTATCGATACGACACCGCCGGCCCGGGGGGGGGGGGGGGCTATTTTGGAAGAACCCTTTTTAGGTTCTTCCAGATGAGTGGAGAAGCGTTCATCTTGAAGTTTTTTATTCATCGTCTGTTCGCCTCATCCGTGGCAATATATTTAACCAGACAAATAGATTTAGAATCGCGCAGACGTCTCGCTGAATGCTCACAGCGTACAGCCATAGGCGATGTAGCACCAGTAACTACGTCATGGCAACTCATGTTCCGCTTTGCCACTCAAGAATTCTCACACGTTACTTATGTCGCTGATAACGTATTTGAAGAACGTATCCTGGGCTTTGACTTCTTGAATGCACACGGTGCTCGATGAATCTAAATAATCAGACAGTACTTCTGAGCGAGGAAAGCATCATCCTGCGCAGCAGACGAGCGCTCCTACAAAATACTGCATGGTGGATTCCTCACCTATTCAAAGTCAACTGTTGTTTCTCCCGTTAAGTCAATTGATAATATTATTGTTGTGGAGGTATCGCGGTCGCTGAAGGTGACGAGGCTTGTGACAGTGTATCAGGTATCGTTGTCAGTAAAACTTGGTTCGACACTGCAAGCCTCACAAGCTTGAGAACAGAAACTGCCAAGGTTAAGCAAGATCGGTAGCCAATGTCTTTGGAACCAGCAGACCGCTTCAATCTGCACCTCAGCCAACCAAAACAAGAGTTACTCTTGAATTTGATCAAAGTCTTCTGATGTGTCTTTGCTTGCTCCCCTTCAGAGACCGGGCGCACGAGTGCTGCTCGCTATCAGATATATACTGGTGACGCTATTTCGATCAAACATACAAGAGATGCGTAAACAGAACGTCACTGTGAACTTATTTAGTCCATGGCTCTCGCCGGATGGTATTGGTAAAGAACACAGATAGGAGCACGAGGTTTTGCGTGGATTATCATAGATGAACAGCATCACGAAGGACTCCTATCTTTTTCTTAGGATCGACGACACACTTGATGCAGTGGCCGGTGCCTCCTGTTTTTCTACGCTTGATCTCAAGAGTGGCTATTGACAAGTTGAGATGGAACCCTTAGACCGCGAGAAGACAGCGTTTACAACAGGCGATGGTTTGTGACAATTCAAGGTGATGCCATTTGGCATCGCCTTGAAATCACTTTGAATTCAAATGGCCTTCGCAGCGCTCCTGGGACTTTCAAGCGCCTCATGGGCAAGTTCCTCAAGGCTTGCCATTGATGTGTGTCTGGCACACCTTGATAATAGATTGGTGCATGAAAAGACATTCGAAGCTGCCCTTCATCAACTTTGAGAAGTCTTTGAGCGCCTAGGACGAGCGAACCAAAAATTTAACCCCAAAAAATGCTCGCTCGCGATTTCAGAAAAGAGTTCAGTACCTAGGCCACTATGTCTATAAGAATTAGAGACAACTTTCGACAAATCGGACTGTATTGAAAACTGGCCCCAACTACAGAGTCATCGTAAACTCAAGAGTTTCTTAGGCCTATGTACATATTACCGGCGTTTCGTAAAAGCGTTTGCTACAATCACCAAACCCCTCTACATGTTGAAAGAACAAAACATGAAATTTTACTGGACTATGCAAGCTGAGGAGGCTTTTCTTCAACTCAAAAATACCCTTAGTGCACCCCCTATTTTGAATTTCCCCATTCGAATCATCCGTGTTTCCTGGACATGGATGCGAGTAACCTCGAAGTGGGCGTAGTTCAGTCCCAGTTAGAGGATGGAACCGAACTGGTGATTGCATACAACAGTCAGGCAATAAAGAAAGTGGATTTAAACTACTGCGTCACAAGAAAGGAACTGTTGGCCGCATTTAAAGCTGTAGGACATTTTCACCATTATATCTACGGCAGCAAGCACTTCCTCTCAAGAACCAATCCCGGGTCCCTTAGCTGACTCTGAATTTTAAAAACCTGGAAGGTCGAGTTGCAATAATGTGGTCAGAACTTCAGCTTGGGCGAGTTGGTAATTCATGATAATGCATCACAGCGCACAAGATCAGACACACTTAAAAAGGAAAATCACGCATACACAGAAAGAACACTCACGCAGCGCTGACTGACAACTCAAATGTATTATGCATCATCTTCATCTTCATTCACTCCGATGCAAATGGCAGTGAAACAAAAAAAAACAAGGATCATATGAAAAAGAGAAAAGGCAAGAACTGAAAAAGGAATAAGAACAAAATATAGAAGGAAGAAAAAATATAGAAGGAAAAAAGTAATGAATTCCCTGTACAGCGGGCGTTCCTACTGTGCTTTTTCTATATAGTTCAACTCTTTTTTCGTTAAGGCTAGCGAAGGAGTGCTAACACATATTCTATCTAGCCTTACAATGTTAGCGGTTTCTACTATTTCCCGCGTCATTTTGTCCCTGCTCTGTCCCAGTATGGTGCATTTGTCTAGGAGGGGAGAACATCCACACGTTCTGCAGTGGAGGCCTAAATGACCCGAGTAGGCATTTATGGCATTGTTGTGGTGCTCACGAAGTCGGTCCTTTAGACAGCGACCCGTCTGTCCGATGTAACACTTGCCACATGTGAGGGGGAAGGAATAGATGACTCCCTCATTGCAGGACACGAACTTGTTCAGGTGGTTTTTGATACATCCAACTGGTCGACTAGATGTCCCATTGACCTTTTTGCACAAGCTAGAAAGTCTATTTGGTGCGGAGAAGACAACGTCTACGTTGACTCTATTGGCCATTTTCTTGAGCTTGTGGGATAAGTTGTGGATGTAGGGAACTATGACAGGCCTTGTGGTGCGGTCTCTGGTTCTGCGTGTTATAGCTCCTTCCTGCTTAACTTCCCTGAGTAGGACTTCGGCAACGGAAGTTAATAAAGACGGGGGGTAGCCCGCTAAAACCAACCGAGAAATTTGCATGTTGAAACTCGTAGGGACATTGTGTTTGCAACATTTTTCCAGAGAGTTTTTTAGGCAGAGTTTTACAATGCCTCTTTTTACAAGCTTAGAGTGGGCGGAGCTATGGTTGAGGAGAGGCTTCTTTGCTCGAGGTTCGTACGACCAGCAGGTGTGATTGCTTTCAAAAAAGAGTCGAAGGTCCAAGAATCTTATAGATCGCTCAACCGGAAGCTCATGGGTGAGTTTTAACGGGTGAAGGCAGTCCTTGAAGGTGGACAGAACACTGGCCACTAAGTCGGGGAAGGTTCCATTGTTACTGTCAAGTAAAATCAGGTAATCATCCACGTACCGAAACACACGCACTACTCTGGACGTGGATGATTACCTGATTTTACTTGACAGTAACAATGGAACCTTCCCCGACTTAGTGGCCAGTGTTCTGTCCACCTTCAAGGACTGCCTTCACCCGTTAAAACCCACCCATGAGCATCCGGTTGAGCGATCTATAAGATTCTTGGACCTTCGACTCTTTTTTGAAAGCAATCACACCTAGCTGCTGGTCGTACGAACCTCGAGCAAAAAAGCCTCTCCTCAACCATAGCTCCGCCCACTCTAAGCTTGTAAAAAGAGGCATTGTAAAACTCTGCCTAAAAAACTCTCTGGAAAAATCTTGCAAACACACAGTCCCTACGAGTTTCAACATGCAAATTTCTCGGTTGGTTTTAGCGGGCTACCCCCCGTCTTTATTAACTTCCGTTGCCGAAGTTAAGCAGGAAGGAGCTATAACACGCAGAACCAGAGACCGCACCACAAGGCCTGTCATAGTTCCCTACATCCACAACTTATCCCACAAGCTCAAGAAAATGGCCAATAGAGTCAACGTAGACGTTGTCTTTTCCGCACCAAATAGACTTTCTAGCTTGTGCAAGAAGGTCAATGGGACATCTAGTCGACCAGTTGGATGTATCAAAAACCACCTGAACAAGTTCGTGTCCTGCAATGAGGGAGTCATCTATTCCTTCCCCCTCACATGTGGCAAGTGTTACATCGGACAGACGGGTCGCTGTCTAAATGACCGACTTCGTGAGCACCACAACAATGCCATAAATGCCAACTCGGGTCATTTAGGCCTCCACTGCAGAGCGTGTGGATGTTCTCCCCTCCTACACAAATGCATCATACTGGGACAGAGCAGGGACAAAATGACGCGGGAAATAGTAGAAACCGCTAACATTGTAAGGCTAGATAGAATATGTGTTAGCACTCCTTCGCTAGCCTTAACGGAAAAAGAGTTGAACTATATAGAAAAAGCACAGTAGCAACACCCGCTGTACAGGGAATTCATTACTTTTTTTCCTTCTATATTTTTTCTTTCTTCTATATTTTGTTTTTATTCCTTTTTCTGTTCTTGCCTTTTCTCTTTTTCATGATCCTTGTTTTTTTGTTTCACTGCCATTTGCATCGGAGTGAATGAAGATAAAGATGATGCATAATACATTTGAGTTGTCAGTCAGCGCTGCGTGAGTGTTCTTCCTGTGTATGCGTGATTTTCCTTTTTAAGTGTGTCTGATCTTGTGCGCTGTGATGCATTATTAGCAATAATGTGGCTGGAGCGATTGTATCAGTACCAGTTTAATGTTCGACATAAAGATGGAAGGAAACGTATAAACGCTGACGGACTCTCACGAAGGCCTTGCTCACGAAGAGTTGTCACCCGTGAAGCGGTACTGAAGCGCAGTCCCACCTCAACCCCACGGATCCACCGTCCCAGTCAACAGTCACGGGGCGGGCGGTTATCACGCTTTCATTAACACAACCGATAACAATCCCACTGATTGGAGTGACGAAACCTTTCGTACCCTTCAAAGAGAAGACAATATTCGGCCTATTGTACAGTGGAAGCAAGAGGGCGAACGGCTGGATTGGTGCCTGGTTGCACCACACAACCATGTCGTGAAAGCCTACTGAGCTCAAAGAGATTCTCTCCTCGTACAAAACGACCCCGTGTTTCTCTGCTGGGAAAGAACAGTGGAGTGACGTCTCACTTAAACTTGTTCTGCCTCAAGTGCGAGTCAAAACTGTGCTGCGGAAAATTTATGGTAGTCCTGCGGGCGGACGTTTTCGGGTACACAAATCGCTACAGAGAGTGTGTGAGAGATTCTACTGGGTTGGCGCCAGCCGTGACGTGCGCGAATATTGAAGAAATTATGATCCCTGCACATTGCGCAAAGTAACTCTTTCTCGTTGCCGAGGACAGATGAATACCTACGACGCTGGTGTGCCGTCTAAGCGAGTAACCGTTGACGTGGTAGGACCCCTACCAAAAACAACACGAGGAAGTTGGCATGTACTAGTAATTACGGACTACTTAACAAAATGGCCAGGAGCTATCCCTGTTTGTAATTGTGACGCAGCAACCGTCGCTTGCATCTTGCTAAAAAGTGAAAGCCGTCTACAACTAACTCCCTGTAACGCCGAATTAGAGCGCAGCTCTTGAGGTGGAGGAGGGAAGGGTACTGGGTGGGGGGGGTCACGTGACCTAGGGGGTCACGTGACGATGCCGATGCCGATGACGTCATCAGTAACGATGACGATGCGGATACCGATGACGTCATCAGTGACGTCACTGATGATCGTCATGAGTGATGATGACGATGACGATGCGGATGCCGGTGACGTCATCAGTGACGATGACGATGCGGATGCCGGTGACGTCAGTGATGTTACTGATGACGTCATCAATGACGTCACTAATGACGTCATCGGGGGCCACGTGACCCCCGGGGGTCACGTGACTTGGGGAGTCACGTGACTTTGGGTGTCACGTGACCTTGGGGGTCACGTGACCTTGGGGGTCACGTGACCTTGGGGCTCACGTGACCTTGGGGTGACCTTAGGGTCACGTGACCTTGGGGTTTACGTGACCTTGGGGTGACCTTGGTTACGCCGACGCCGACGGCGACGCCGCTCAAGCCGGGAACGGGCCCCTAAAGGCCCTGTCACATTGAGGAAACACGGCGGAAACATGAACAAAACATGTTTCTCAACAGTCGGGAAACACGTCGGCTGTCGGCTCTGATGCCCGACAACCCTGTCACATTGAGGAAACAGCAACACAACATGGACGACAGCGACAATGTTGTCTCGGTGTGACAGCTTTTGGCAACGGAAACCTCGACAACTTGTGTCGGACAACACGTGTTGCCCATTTCGGTGGCTGAGCGAATTTGTTTCCAGCAACACGGCAACATCTATATTTTTCTGTACAGATAGTCGCACGAGAATACTTCAATAATAACGTCAAGCGTGAAGGGCCATTTTGAACGCGGCTTCTTGCACGGCGGCAGCTGATCGTCAGAATCATCTGAATCGATGGCACAAAGAAGCACCCTGTCACACTGCGGAAACAGTCGGAGAACTTTGTCCTTCAACACGAGGAAAACATGTTTTCGGGGACCCTGTCACATTGCGGAAACAGCAACAGTCCGGAAACATGTTGCTGTAGTCCGAAAACCATGTTCCCCAACTTGTTCTCCGACACTCGGGAAACACCCTGTCACACCGAGAAAGCTTGTTGGAAGAACACAAATTGCCTCCTCTCCTGCACGCTGCCTCCCTCTTTCTTTCACCCTTGTCTGCCCGGCCGGCTCCGCTAAGCTACAAGCGCGAGCTCCGGGCTTTCAGCATCCCTGCCAAGCACGCGCGCTCGTGCAGTGCAAGCACTGTTCTGGGCCAGATGCTCGCGCGGCTGCGTCTGGACCGAAGCTGAAACGAAGTATAGGCGGCTAGGCTCAGATCCGCTGGCTCCGCTCGCCCCTTGAATCGTTGCCATTTTGGATCGCCGTCTCATCGCCGTCGCTCTACCGTAGTCGATTCATCAGCCGCGCGAACCATCTCGTGTTCTCTGGATTTGGCGGTTGCGTTCTGCTACAGGGCTAAACCCTTGCAGGAAGGCATACGCGCCAGCCACAGCAGCAGCTTCTGCTTTGGTGCTTCTTTGTGCCATCGATTCAGATGATTCTGACGATCAGCTGCCGCCGTGCAAGAAGCCGCGTTCGTTCAAAATGGCCCTTCACGCTTGACGTTATTATTGAAGTATTCTCGTGCGACTATCTGTACAGAAAAATATAGATGTTGCCGTGTTGCTGGAAAAAAAATTCGCTCAGCCACCGAAATGGGCAACACGTGTCGTCCGACACAAGTTGTCGAGGTTTCCGTTGCCAAAAGCTGTCACACCGAGACAACATTGTCGCTGTCGTCCATGTTGTGTTGCTGTTTCCTCAATGTGACAGGGTTGTCGGGCAACAGAGCCGACAGCCGACGTGTTTCCCGACTGTTGAGAAACATGTTTTTTTTTTTTTTATGTTTCCGCCGTGTTTTCTCAATGTGACAGGGCCTCAAAGCAGAAGCTGTTGCTGTGGCCGGCGCGTATGCCTTCCTGCAAGGGTCTAGCCCTGTAGCAGAACGCAACCGCCCAATCCAGAGAACACGAGGTGGTTCGCGCGGCTGATGAATCGACTACGGTGGAGCGACGTCGATGAGACGGCGATCCAAAATGGCAACGATTCAAGGGGAGAGCGGAGCCAGCGGATCTGAGCTTAGCCGCCTATACTTCGTTTCAGCTTCGGTCCAGACGGAGCCGATGCTACAAGCGCGAGCGTCTGGCCCAGAACAGTGCTTGCACTGCACGGGCGCGCGTGCTTGGTAGGGATGCTGAAAGCCCGGAGCTCGCGCTTGTAGCTTAGCCGAGCCGGCCGGGCAGACGAGGGTGAGAGAGAGAGGGAGGCAGCGCGCAGGAGAGGAGGCAATTTGTGTTCTTCCAACACGCTTTCTCGGCGTGACAGGATGTTCCACGAGTGTCGGAGAACAAGTTGGGAAACACGGTTTTCGGACGACTGCAACATGTTTCCGGACGGTTGCTGTTTCCGCAATGTGACAGGGTCCCCGAAAACATGTTTTCCTCGTGTTGGAGGACAAAGTTCTCCGACTGTTTCCGCAGTGTGACAGGGCCTTAAGAGCTGCGCTCTAAAACAATGTATCGATGTACGGAGTTGCCCTAGAGACTCATTTTGAGATGTGATGCACTTTTGAGCCTCGACCATTTAAGACTTTGTGCACAGTACTTGGCATAAAAAAAACAAAAACAAACAACAGAGTTACACCCTCCATCAAACGGTATGGTGAAGAGGCTCAACCGGTCCCTTAAGCAATACTTATTCCTCTTCGTCAACGTGAATCAGGACAACTGGGGCGAACTGCTTCTTCTCTTTTTATTTCCTACAATTCAGCTGTCCACACAGCAACAGGCTACACAACATCAATGTCGTTAATGGAAAGAGAGCTAGGGCTACCTAGGGACATTATGATTGGTACTCCGGTGCCAGAAGCACGGAAGGCAACACGTGAGCATATTCACTTGGACCACGCTCTTGATTTGCGCAAAAAAAAAAAAAAATAGAATCTGTCCAAAACTTCGCACGAAGGCATTTACAACTCAGCAGCAGCCACGCAGGGACTCGCTACAATTCAGCCACCAACTTGAACCTGGAGATTCGGTGTGGCTGTACAGACCAAAAATAACCAGAGGTCGTAGTCTAATACTACAACGACATTCGTATGTCCCCTACAAGACCATAAAAAAACTGAACGACGGCGTTCACCGAACCGGTGGACGACGACGACGACAACCACAAATCTCAGACAGCCCTTTTGATCCTCTCCCAACGTACCACCTTAAGTGAACACTTCTGCAGGCCTCAGGACGAGAACCTCCACAGGGTAGGGTACAGTGTTGTCGAACGCTCACACCCCAAGGAGTGTTGTGCAAGACGAAGACTGCCAAAACAGCAAGAAAGAAGGTGGGACTATGTGTGTGTGAAGGAATGGGCGCCATTAGAGGCTGACGGATGAACCTGATAAAACAAGGCCTTCGAATTACCTTCTGCCATAACAGTATATTTAGCTTCGTAAGCATTTCTGTATCAAATACTTATTCGCTGACATTTTTATATATCACTCGAAGAAAACTAGCTTAACTGGTTCTAAGCCTGACGAAGAGCATGCTATGCTTTAGACGTTTTGCCAAGTTTTATTTACCACTGCCTCTGCCTCTTCAGGACCCTAAGGGCAGTATTGTATTAATTCATATCTCCGTTATACAACAGGTCCTCTGTTCGAGCCTGCATAAACATACGCAAAGCCCAATCCACGAGGGTCTGAGCAACATTTCTGCAGCGTCTCATCTCGGACAGGCGTCACTCGCAAATAACTGCACAAATGCGAGCCAATCTTCGCCAGAACAATTCTTTTAGTAAGTATCCGGTTCACTTAACACGACTTCCCTAAATCCATAAATTTAAGTCACGAAATATATTACAAGTGTCATCGCAATTTCGCTGATTATTTCGGCTGGGCGCTCCAAGTTAGCCAATCTAAAAATTTAGTCAAATTGATGGAGCCATCGCAAATGGAAATTCTAGTCAAACGGTGCATTTAGCTGAATTGGAGCGTCCTGTCAAATTAAGCTTAATTTGCAGCCAAATTGTGCCCTTAGCCGAGACGACTTTGAGCTCAATCAATATTTAACCGCAAGAGAGACGACGGCCCGTCCTGAAGTAGCCATTTGATAAGTATCCCTTAATTATCTTTTGTGTAGCCCTTAGAATACACGTCTCCGAATGCTCTGTTTATCGCGTGTCTCGTTTGTCCTCCCGATTTAATAAAATCACAACTGTGCAATCCTGCAGAACGCCGCGATTCTGGTGGTAGCACAGTAGTGTAGGAGGATATGGCAGACGCCTAGCTGTTTTGCTAGAGCTCACATTGAAATCACGGTCAGCCGTTAGAAACTACGGCAGCCATAGTGTAGGACGCAGTGACGCCAGCGACACCTGCGTCCATTACTCTTCTTCGCGGGCGCTCCCAGAATACCAACCGCCTGGATCGCGACGGCCCATAGCAGTCGACGGCGGCTCCGGTGAGGCATTCTGTTTTCTGTTGTCACTTTGGTAGGGCTCCAATACGTGGCTGGCGTAGGACGCTGATACCCCACAGGCAGACGGGCTAATCTAGTGCACTTGAACCAAGGGCACTTTGCACTTAGTGTCGTCTCTGTAGTGCGCCACACGGCTTCTTCTTGAAGAACACACTTTGATTCAAGTTAGTTTGACGAACTCACTTCACTTGACCAAGTACGTAACCTCGATAGCAGTTTTAAACAGTAAAACGCAAAAAATAAAATCATGACGTAAATTTTATTCTATAAAGTAGTAAAACTTTGTTAAAAAGGACAGAGAAGAGTATCATTACAAAAGAAAACACGCCGAAGACACTTAAGACTGATTGCGTGTAAGAATACGAAAGCATTCCTACACGCAGTGCATTTCTACAAGCAGCGCGCCACGTCTTCCTTTTTCACACGTCGCTCCGGCGGTGGCATTGCGCTCCCTTACTGCGCAGGCGCGGCGCCCCCGCCGGCTCCACGGCTTCCGTGACGATGCATCTGCGTTGCTGTGCTTTTCTTAGTGTTTTATTTCTGAGGCGCGTCCGCTTTGACCCTGAGCGACGCGAGCCTAATGACGTATTGGTGTGACCATCTTTCGGGCGCAATAGACCCTTTCCGGAATTCAGTCCCATCTGGTGACTCAAATGGCAGTTTATCTTTTACTATACTAATGGCCGCAAGGAACCTGTGGTCTGCAGTATTTTATGGGGCACCGTCATTTTTAAAGGTCAACGGTAAACGAGAATGTGCACTTCACTAGAAATAGTTTTCAATCTCTTTTAGTGTTGATGGGGAAACAAATGCAGCCAGTGGGAACGAAGCGCCAACCCACATAGACGCCTTGATAGAGTTCTATACATCAAGGGGCTTTGAAGCCGAGTGAGTGCTGCTTACACATTCAGTGGGACCGAGTTAGAAATGGACGTTACGCAGCTCTTGCGTCCGATTCCTACTTCACGCCGCGCTAACATCTAGAATGTATAGGCATCGAATCACCTGCTTAGGAGCATCTTCAACTTCTTCCTTCATCGGTAAACAGAGGGCCGCCATTAGTACAGCACATAGGTTGTTTTCAGATGATGATGATAGTGATAAAAGTGGCCAGACTGAATTCCGGAAAGGGTCTATTCCGCCGCCTTTTTGTCCTAATGGGACATATAAGGCTTTCGCCTTAAAACATAGTGGAATGGACTTAGCCTTACAGTTTGGGTTTAGGCTGATCTGTACGGTGGTTAGCGCTGCGGTGAATCGATAAAACACGACTACAAAGTCTGTCATTCCAATGCTGTTTTGGTTAGCAGTGGGGGATAGAGCCTACGCTTGTTTCAGCATTTAGCTGTAGGAGACAACACGATAATGATGGTCTAATAAGGCAGTGTCAAGGCTCCTTCTAAACCTCCGTGGGCCGAAACGGAACGCCAAGGTTGGATCTTCTTCTTTATCTTGGCTTGCGATGATTGATCGGAATAATCCAAATGGCGTAAATACCGTTCATTAATGGAACTTAGTTTTGTAACGTGTCCTTATTAAATAGACAAAATGTTGCCCAGACGTTTATGCCTTTAGTTTCACAATTTACGTTTTGAATAGTACTTTACCCATCGTTATTGCCATCATTTGCGGGTGACATTAATATTTCCAGTGTGGCACCGAAACATTTGAAATGATATTTGGTAGGCTGAAGTGCACTCGGTTGAAGTGAACTAAATTAGCCAGTCTGACAGGGGTGTAGTACACTGCGCTCAAAGTGTTCCAGACGCCATACATTTTAACTATCATTCCTTCATCATAGACGTCAACTATTTATCAAGACGGAATGACTCGATGAAAGCATTTACGCACGGGCACACTCAAAAATGACGCAAAATTAGCCATGTAACGAAGGACAGTAGACGTTTCGGGTAGGGACAAGCGCCGTCTTCACACTTCAACTGACGCGGAAGGAAAAGCAAGCCAACAGTTGAAGATCATAGTTACTGAAAGCAAAAGAACGGCAGGGAGGTCACTCAGTTGTACCGCCTCCAGAGCAAGTTACCGGCCTTCGGTGACGCTTAGGCGTCTTGTAAGCTTCGATTGTGCACGCGCAACCAAAGTACACTGCAAAGCACTGAGCGCGTGCAGGAGACCGGGCATTCGAAAGAGACGCCGTGTGGTGCTCATCCTGTGAAAGACTACAGGCGCTGGTCTCGTTGGCTCACCTGCCATGTGCGCGTTTTATAATTTTCTTTGCAGCAAAGCGGTCCTTGGCCTTAGTGGCGGTCTACAGGAACTGGGATCCTTCCAACCTCTCTTAGTGTGGTCCCTCATTTTATCTTGGTCCTGCGTTTATATGTGCGTCTTCAAAGGCATCAAGACGTCCGGAAAGGTATTCTTGCTCGTACATCAATTACGCTCACTATTCGCCTCTAGTTATAAATGTGCGCTTTATGGTTTCTGTAGAAAGAGCCGAAACAATGACACGTCTTTGTACATGTGTCAAAAAGAACCGTGTCCTTTACGACTTATGCGGGATACTACTTCTAGCCTAGCAGTGACGACAATCTTGAGGATGGTGAATGCAGTTGGTGGAAGCTCGGCGTCAACACTAGCTCACCGACAATGAACTTAACTATCACTCAATGAATAAGAGCTCTATAGGATGTTGTTTATGGCTCTGTTTGTGATTTTATGTATTGCACAAGTCTATGTTTGTTTATGTTTTTGTGTATGACTCCTCGTTTTTTCTTACAGATCGTCTATGTGACGGCCCTCGGCCCCTTTCTGATCCTGGGAATCATGTTTATCCGGGGCATCACCCTGAAGGGAGCCAGTGCTGGCCTACATTATTACTTCGTGCCCGAGTGGAATAAGGTTTTGGAGATCAAGGTACTTTGTATTTGGGATATCTTATGTTAGGTGTTTATTGAACGATCTCCCAGAAAATTCGCTACGAATATTGATAAAGCATAAAATGTTTTCTTACAATTGCCTCAACCTTCGCATTAAAAAAAAAAAAAGGGACCGTACAGGGCAGTACTTCCTAGTTCTGAGTTCGGAAAACGGCAGCTGCCCGAGAGTTGCCCAGCTGCCAAGTTGAATTTCGTCTCGCGGTAAACTGTGCACGGCTAGATTCTGCCAGGGCCATGCTTCTACACCTCCCCGTCTTGTCAAGGCCACGATTCTATGCCATAGTGTCTTCCCAAGGCCACGATACTACGCTGTAGTGTCTTGTCAAGGCCACGATAGTACGCCGTAGTGTCTTGCCAAGGCCACGATTCTACGCCGTAGTGTCTTGCCAAGGCCACAATATTACGCCGTAGTGCCTTGCCAAGGCCACGATTCTATGCCGTAGTGTCTTGTCAAGGCCACGTTATTACGCCGTAGTGTCTTGCCAAGGCCACGATACTACGCCGTAGTGTCTTGCCAAGGCCACGATACTACGCCGTACTGTCTTGCCAAGGCCACGATTCTACGCCGTAGTGTGTTACCAAGGCCACGATATTACGCCATAGTGTCTTGCCAAGGCCACGATACTACGCCATAGAGTCTTGCCAAGGCCACGATTCTAGGCCGTAGTGTCTTGCCAAGGCCACGATAGTACGCCGTAGTGTCTTGCCAAGGCCACGATACTACGCCGTAGTGTCTTGCCAAGGCCACGATACTACGCCGTAGTGTCTTGCCAAGGCCACGATACTACGCCGTGGTGTCTTGCCAAGGCCACGATTCTACGCCGTAGTGTCTTGCCAAGGCCACGATACTACGCCGTAGTGTCTTGTCGAGGTCACGATACTACGCCGTAGTGTCTTGCCAAGGCCACGATACTACGCCGTAGTGTCTTGCCAAGGCCACGATACTACGCCGTAGTGTCTTGCCAAGGCCACGATTCTACGCCGTAGTGTCTTGTCAAGGCCAGTCTCCTACACTGTGGTATCCCGTCAAGGTCAGGCTCCGCGTTACGTCGTAATACGCCTTCGGCTCTAACTACGTACTACGTTTTGAAACGCTTTCGAGGCTGCTGGCACGAGCGTGCAGCTTGGCCTTAAAGTTTATTTGGGCATGACCTTGCACCAATGAGACACTTACGCTGGCGCCATTAGCTTTAGGAATAAATAGCGCACTTTTGTGCCGGGTGTACCTCCATCCATGACGACATTATTAAAAGCATGGTTTTAGCTCAGATCGTTGTCTGAGGAAGGGCTATGAATTTCACTGTAGTTATCGCTACAACAAAACTAACAACCAGGGGGGGGGGGGGGAGTTTGGTGTCTACTTTATTTAGTTGTGGTATCTTATGAGTAAAGCTTGTAGCGTAGGAATAAGTGTAAACCACTATCTTTTCAAATCGAGATATTCGGAGCCTACACCAGATTCAGATAAAAATGCCAGTCCTCGTTATTGGATTGTTTAAGTTGTTACGGGGGATGTAAATAAATGTCGACTACTAGGAAGCATTAGTAGATTGTTCCGATAACTGCGCTAACAAAAACTGACAACGATACGACGCCCGCGCAAAGGCGTGGGTGGAGTATCGATTATTGTTATGGAAGTAATACGTATCGATCTTCTAAAACTTTGTATGTTTCTTTTCCAGGTCTGGAAGAGTGCTGCTGAACAAGTGTTTTACTCTCTGAGCATCGCTGAGGGAATGATCATTTGTTTCGGAGGCTTCAACGAATTCCGGAATGAACTTCATAAGTATAATAGCAGTTTCCTGTTTCTATTTATCTCGCTAAAATTTATATTTTTACATCAAGAGCGCACAAAGGCATTTTATAAGGGTGGAATAAGAACAAAAGGGCATTTTGATGCAGAAAGCATGATATTCACAAGCGGAGCATGTTACGTCTTGAACACCCGCATTTGCATGCCTATAATTGATAAGATATAGTTCCCTGAAATAAATCTTCGCCATATTGTATTGTCCACAATCTGGAATGTCTACCATACTTTCACGTTGGCCATTCCAGACGTAAGAAAGATTTATATTTCTTTGTTTGTGCGACATAAGGGTAACCAGACTCAAAATAATGCGGCTATCAAATAAAAGGAATTCTAGTAGGCAGCAGAATTTTCAAAGCACTCTAAGCGCCTTCTTTTTTTTTTTATTTAGAAACGGTTTGTTTAAAACGTAGAAACAAACAGAGGCACCTAAAGAAATGACATGCCACGCTTGTCACGTGTAGGTATATGACTCAAGTAAAAGCTCACGTAGAAAAAAAAATATCGAATATAATTTGATATGGTTCAAATAAGTAGAATTGTTGCTTTGCCAATTTTTGTTTCGGGCTACAAGTTTCAATTTGACTCCTTGGTTTTGACCAACTGTATGCTGCGGGAAGGCTTATGGAGTTAATTAAACTGCAAGATATCGATCTTAGAATTGCTTCACTGACATGATCAGCGATATTGGGCGAGTCCTTGTAAACTGGCCGTAGTGTCGAATGCTGGAGTGCAAAGGTGAAAAATTAAATCTGGCGGCTTATGTCTTGCATTTTTGAGCCGGCCAACCGCATAATATTAGTTCTGAAAAACAATTTATTTTTAACAATTTACTAAGCAAAGTGTGGGTAGTTTTACTGAGTTATATAATACTGAGAAAACAGTGAGTGCGCAGGCGAGCTGATTGTAGTTAGTCACGACGTTTAACACCCGAGAGTAAGAGAAAAAACAGGAAACTTTACACTCACACTGAACTGCTTCCAGTAATATTTGTCGTCGTTCATGTATGTTTGTGACTATCGGTGAAGATGAACAAACATTTCATTTCCATGAACTTGCGTAATCGAGGATTGCTTGTCTTTTTGAACCCCGTGTACTAGCTTAGATAACACGGCGCTTACGTTCTCCGCTATTAAAAATCCAAGTTTTTTTTCTTTTTTGAAGATTTGTTTAAGAATGTGGCAAATGCATTTCAGGGACGTCGTTATCATCGCGTTCGCGGACTTCATCGTTAGCATGTTGTCCGGCGTCGTCGTCTTCTCTGTGCTGGGAAACATGGCCCACGTGCTGGATCTGCCCGTTGAAGGAGTCGTCCAGTCGGGTTCGTTGACGTTCATTAGGGAGTTTTAGTAGGTCGTTTTTCTCTTCCGCTACGGTATCCATAAAGAAAACGCCGCAGCTGCTCATGCGCGCCGCCAGCCTTGTCTGCATGGTTCAAGGTCTTGTGGCGGATTGCAGAACGCCATGCGGGTGCTTAGCGGGCTGCGGAAACAGTCTACGAAAACCTGATATTGTCGATTTTCTTATCTTTACCCGAATTCATGGGAGTTTATACCGCCGTGGCAACGGCGGTATAAACTGTTTGAGTAAGTGCGACCGCCGTCGCACTTACTCAAACATCCCAACGTCATGTTCAGCGGGCTTCTTTTTTTTTTTTTGTCAGCACTGGAAACAGCGCTGCTGACCTTGCTGATGCGGCGCTCACTTCGCGCTATATATTATTGATACATCACTGATAGAGAGCCGCATCAACGCTGACTTGGCGCCATGCTAGTGATGCAGGGCTGATACACCACTGCACCAGCACCAAGTTACGTTCAAGTCAACACTGCACCAGTATTCTTCTAGTGTTGACTAAGCGCAGTGCTGTATGTGCGAACAGGCCTTAACGCAGCGCTACAGACAGAACGTTGTTTTTGCGGCTATTTCTGCACAGTGTTAGCGCTTTTATGAGATACGGCGCTTTTCTATTTTCACAATGATACTAGCGCCGACAGAGCACTGATCCAGCACTCACTTTAGCGTTGCGTTGCGCATGAAACCATTTTTTCAACTTCTTCCCCTTTAGCTTTAATCCTAAATTCAAAAGCGAAATGAGGAACCACATGGTCATGTCGTGCTCGGGCACCGAATGCGATGACTCCAAGCTTTCACCGCGTTTTTGAAGCCCACCAAGAAACTTGTCATTCGCAAGTGATAATAAGCGCCGTCACGGTACTCATTGGCCACGAATGCAAATCAATCTAAATATTCATTGACAGATTGATTGTTGACGAGCGCGTGCGTCCAAGTGACGCCATGCTGTGTTTTATGCGTGAGCTGGGTTCGGCTGACGTGCTTGGGCACCCAGGATGCATCACCGTGAAAAGGCGGAGAACTTTCGAAGGAAAGGAGGTATAAGAAATAGTCCGCTATAATTTGAAACTTTCGTACCGGAAAGCAGGAGTTTAACTTCCTGGTCTCTTTTGTTTGGGCTTGGGCTCTGTAACGGTACACGTTTAGTAAAATCTCTATCTAAAATTACTTATTTCAGCCCAAAATTCATTTCGTGGTCCCTTTAAAGAAGTGCTCGCCACTGCGATGTGCGACAATATACGAAGGGATTCAAATTTTTAATCCTAAATAGAACGCATTCTTCCCGCTCATAATTTAGTTCGGAAGTAAGGCAGCGTATGCGTTACGAAAAGTATTACCTTAATAACCGACGCTTTCTATATATATATATATATATATATATATATATATATATATATATATATATATATATATATATATAAACTGTTTTAATTTAGAGATTACACCATTGCGACAAGTGTGTCAAACTGTCCCAAAACCTGAAGCTGAATTGGGTTATTAATAAATATACGCATTTTGCCATGTTCGTTCGCAACCCTAGTCCGTGAAAGTGCAGAAAAATACAAGTTCGATTCCGCCTCAATGACAGCGTGGCATTCGCCGATAAGAACACGGAAGAACAATTTTACGACGTTAGAAGCGTGAATCCCGCCGGGCGTTTCTCGAGGTGTCACTGAGTATAGACAGTCTCAATAAAAAAAAGCTTCTCGGAGGCGCCATCTTCAAAAATACAGCGTATGGCTCCCATTTTGCTCGCGTTTGGAGGACACAAACACGCTAGTGCTGGGCTGTGGAAATCTGTAAACATGTAAACTCTGTAAACATTTTAAAGGTGTGTGATCCGGTGAACTGAACAAGCACAGGGCGTATCGAGTTCCGAACATTTTGTTGTCGCTCCGTAAACCATTGAGGTTGTGGCATCAAGTAATAAGCATAAAGTTACTACTCTTAGTCTACCGCACGCTGCGGACAGCGTGCCCAGCGGGCGCCTGCTCCGTCCATGCTTCAAAGTGACCACACGAGCTTCCACTTAGAAAGCGTAGGTCTAGAATACGGTCTATTAAAACTCTCTAATAAGTCACGTTAGCGAATTATCAGACAGCGCTCTCATTGCTGTGAATACTGATCAGGTACAGTCGTCGGCTGACTGAACTTAGGGACAAGCTGTTTGTTTTAACAAAACAATGTGCAAGCATTTGAAAGAAGCCCGCATGCGGTGGCCGTCTATTTGAAAGTGTTCACGTTTCCCAGTATCCAACTAGTCCGTTTGAGACGTTTGCAGCCGTCATACTATACCAAGTCCGACTTCTGTTCACGACATACCACCGCAGTTATGAGGCATCTAAGGGCTATTTGCCATATCTGCATTTGACTGCGATCAGCTCCGCTACGACCGCTTACGACAGCTTACCACCAGCGAACACTAGAGGACACACTGGCGGACACACTGGCGCAGTGGCGCCATCTGTCAGGCAGCCCTCGAACCCTTCCAACCTGCGTATAAATAAACTCAAGGCTTTGTAGAATTTTTTAGATCAAACCTACGCACTACCTACGAGAAATGGCTTCTTGTAACATTTAAGCTTATTGTGAAAGAATTATTAGTAATGTATACACAGATTGGAACTCTTTCAGAGCTACCGATAGGTGGCGCAAGCCGCCGCCCGATTCAATAAGTTCAATCTCATGAATCCGTTCATCCATCATTGTAAGATGTCATAAATGCTGGAAGCGCAGTCGATCACAGTCAAACTCATAGTGCGAACAAATCCACACGACGTTATTTTGGACACTAGAGCAAGGACGTCGATGTGCAACATAAATCGTTCGCCCCCTGAGAACGTGCTCCAGCTAATCTTCTAAAGCGATGCGCCCTTTCAGCTTACTTGCTGATTAAACATAGTGCCGCACATAAACTGTTTTCTCCTTCTTTTCACTGTTGCAGGAATCGGGCTTGCGTTCATCGCGTACCCGCAAGCGCTCAGCATGATTCCGTATCCACACTTCTGGTCGGCCGCCTTTTTTGCCATGCTCTTTTTCCTCGCCATTGACACCGAGGTGGGTGGCGTGGGTTCTTGCACTCGGTGACCGGCTAAAAATTGCTAGGAATTTAGTAGACGCTCCCCCTCCAGCACGCGCTCGTTGCCTTCCACCGAGATTTGTGAATCCTTAACCCGTCACTAATTAAATCGTGTACACTAACGGTTCGATCCTACTTTGGACAGTCCGCAAAAAATCGGTTTCTATCGCGTTGAAATTTACTACCGAGGTGCCCGAAGGTAGCACATAATTAATTAAGAATATTATTACATTAGACCTCTGAAGTCATAAGAAAGAAAACAAAAACTGGTTTTGTCTGCGGACAAATATTAATGCATTATTTTTCTTAAACATTAAGAAAAAATATATTCTGGCTATTCTGGCTGTTCTTGCGTTTATTGCGACTAAACAATTGGTGAACTGGAAAAAAATACAATCGGCTTACTTAGTTTTCACTTCATTTCACCCCCATTCGCGCCACAGTGACAAAAAATAATATTGTGCATGCGACGTAAAAGGAAAAGTTTTTTTTGTGAATTACTTCGGTGAGCCAATTTTTCCACAATTTTTGTGAAAAAGTTTTACTACCTTCGGGCACCTCTGTAGTAAATCTTAGCGCAATACATTAACAACCCATTTCATGCGAACCGTTAAAAGTGGGATCGATGCGTTAGGATACACGCTGTATAGCCAGTGATATTATACTCGGGAAGAATCTTTTCCGGCATTTACGAAGAAGTGAACACCCCGCAAGAACAGCCGTGACCGGCGCTCATTATTCACGAACGCCCGACTACCCATAGTTTTGACTAAATTGACAAGAAAACTTGTCTCCAAGTATAGATCAAATATTTGAAGCAGTAAAAGCAATTTTAAAGCAAGGATATTTATGGACTCGTTTCAAGGTCTAAGGCGTCTTTAAGACTTTTAGCGGAAACGGGATAACACGGGCGAACGACGATCAGTTGGTTAGTGCAAACGTGGGACGTGGGTTCGGCGAAAGTATGGGCTAGTTGTCTCGTGACGCAACGTCACTGTGTCATGTGACATTGACGTGGCTTCGTTACGTGTTATCACTTGACACTTGCAACGGCAGAGCCCGCAAGTTTATCTGGCGACACAGTCACCCATTATATCGCAAGTTGGGGTACGGCCCCCGGAGGTGCCATTAAGCGTTCAGCATTTGCTTGGAACGTTACTCGTCTGAGTCTCTCATTTCTTGCGGCATTACATGGCATAAAAACGATACTGTTGACTGGAGCAGCCCCGACATAAGCCACAACGCCCTCTACGGAAGGATGGAAGGATTCAAGGCTTCAAAAGGACTCCAACTGGCTGGAAACCTCCCAAAGAACTGGGAAAAAGTATGTCAGCAAATGGAGCTCTTCCTGGTAGCCATGCAACCAGAGAAACCCCGCTCGGCGAAACGGAAGGTGGCAACACTCTTACACGTTGCAGGACCAGACGTCCTGGAAGTATTTAACGCCTTCTAGTGCACCCACCACGTTACCCTCCAGAAATTCGAAAGCTACAGAACGCCTCGCTACCGCGAGACATATGAACGCTACATCTTTCGATCCAAGATGAAGAAAGAGAATGAGCCTTTTGGGAACTATACTTTCGGGACCTGCATCTGAATGTTCAGTAGTGCAACCTTGCCAGCCTCGCTGACCTTTATCGTGCGCGACCAGATTGTGTACGACAGCGTCTACATAAATCTACAAAAGCGCATGCTTCAAGAAGAAGACTTAGACCCTGGAAAAAGTAGTGCACTTTCTACAAAACGACTAAACTAAAGCAAGCACAGAAAAAGCCCTAGGAAGCACCGCAGCGCATCTTCGAGCCAGTTTCGACACTACAGAGAGATTCTAAAGCCCAAAAATGTACCAGGTGCAATCTGCAGCACGAGCAAAGGCGCCGCCCCGCGTACGGACAGGTCTGCTCTGGGGTGCCTTTATGTGTGCTTTGCTTAGAGTGATGACATCTGAGCGTTTTGTCATGAACGCTTAATTTTCTTTTACCTTCTGAAGTGCATAAAAAATTGTCTCCCTGAATGCGCTCTTGGCTATAACTGTGCTACAACAACTTCTTTTCTTTCCATTTCTTTTTTTTTGGGGGGGGGGGGGGGCGGTTTTTGTTTTATTTCTTATGTAAGCGCGTGTTGTCGGCATGGGGTACTATACAATGAATGTCGTCGCACTGAATATAAGTGCATTAAGGCACTCTAGTCTAATCAAAGTGCAACAAGAAAAATGACTGGGCCGCGTGCTGTAGGTCACAGTACCACGAACTCGCCGATCGTAGGGCAACCGGTGACATTACGTGCGACCATGACGACTTTACCGTGCTGGGAGTGCCGGCGGTAACGGGAGACAAGGCCGACCCTCTGGTGGAGACGTCAGTCGCTAACCAGACGATGAGACTCAAGGTGGATTTTGGAGCGCAGGCGAACATCTTGCCGCACTGTGTGTTCAAAAAGCTTAACAAGAAGGAACAGACGCAAGCGGGCAAAGCCATCCTTAGAAGCTATATCGGCCACCAGATCCGTCACCTAGGAACTGTGTCTCTTCCCGTAGAATATAAGCAAAAAAGGGCAATGCTTGAATTCTTCGTCGTAAAGAAAGCTCGGCAGGAACTTTTGAGCCTTCGAGCAAGCGAAACATTCTGTCTCGTGAGCCCTGTGGACAGAGTCACTGAAACCTCAGCCGGTGAGTAAAAGGTTGTTTCGGAGATTTCCCAGCTCTTAAAGGATCTCGGCTCCATGAACAAGCCATAAAAGATGGTCCTCAAGGACGGTTACCAGCTTTCGATCAAGCCGGAACGAAGAGTACCACAGATGCTGAGGCAGGTGCTGGACAGAGTCGGAGCCGCCGGGAACGTTCTCAGAATGAGCAAACCAAGTGACTGTGTAAGCTCACTGGCCACTGTCCGCAAAAAAAGATGGCAAGATCAAAGTTTGCATGGACCCACCATATATAAACGAGTGTCTTAAGAGAGAGGACTACAGGATGCCCAAACGAGATGACATTGAGGCACACAAGAACAATACAACAGACCTTTCACGGCCAGATGCCCCCTCGGTGTTTCACAAAATTGATCTCGGTGATAAAACCCAAAGATTTGAGGAACACCGAAAGAATAAGACACCGGTGGAATCACATACACTTTATATTACCACCTGTGTTTTATTTTTATTGTGTTTTTGTTTTTCAAACTTAACCAACAGGCTCGTCAGTCTACATTGTCTCAAAGAATCACACATTTAACACGCCCTATGGGCGCTATCGTCACATACGACTACCGTTCGGACTTGCCGCGGCACTTGAGGTTTTCCACAAGAAAAGGATATAGATTTTTTAAGACTTGCCAGGTGTCAGTGTACATCTATGACATAATCATCTGGGAGCCACTGAAACCGAGCGTGGGACACAGCTCCATACAGCTCTACAGGCTGCCCTTCGGCCATGACTTACCTTGAAAGTGGAGAAATAAAGATTCGGTAAGAGAAAGGTGGTTTTTCTAGAAAACATGATTAGCGCGCTAGGCATTCAGCCCGATCAGAAGTTGGTGAACATGCAGCGTAGTAAACATGGCAGTGCCCAGAAATGCAAAGGACCTTCAAAGCATGCTTGATGTTTTCACATATTTCAGCAAATATCTTCCTCGGTTTTAGGATCGAACCACCCTTCTGTGGAACCTACTAAAGACGAGCTCTGTGTTTAAGTGGACCCTAAGTTACGACAATGGGTGGCACAATCTCAATAACTGGTTAACCCCAGCACCCGTCCTTGCATTCTACAATCAGGCGCTGGAGCCAAAAGTGTCCACTGCTGTCTCCAGCTATAGCCTGGGTGCAGCTCTCTTCTAGCGTCATGAGACAGAGTGGATGCCCGTGGTTTATCGGTCAAGAATGCTGACAAAATGCGAATCTCGATACTTTCAAACTAAAATGGAGGCACTGGGCGGGCACACTAAGCTGTGGGTGGTTTCATGATTTCATATATGGACGGAACATAATTTTGGAGACTGATCATCAACACCTTATTACCATCTCCAAAAAGAATGTAGGTACCATGCCCCCTGGCCTGCAGCGTTTTTTTCTCTCAAATTAATGAGGTGGGACTACAAGTTTCAATTAGTTCGGGGCAAGCAGCTAACATTCGCAGACGTGTTATCGCATGCTCCGGTCCCAAGGTACACATAACCGATGCTCAGGGCGTGCTTGCTGAGGAACTTGCCGAGGAACATGATGGCGAAGTACAGGCAGTCGCAAAACTCTCAAACCTGGTTAGCAATTACACAGTGAGCAAGCTTGCAGCTTCGACAGCCGAGGACACTGTTTTGGCAGGAGCAATCAGCTGCCTTCACGAACAACGGCCGTTGCCTCAGTCATGCCCCAACAGGTCGTGCGCCAAAGAAATGTCAGTTGTTCAGGGAATGCGTGTTAAGGGACTCAAGGTAGTTATCCCAAAGAGTCTCAGAAGAGAGATGCTTGCGAGGTCGCATGACGGTCATTTTGGAACCAACAAATGCAAATAAAAAACTCAACCCTTAATGATCGGGCCTGGAATGTGATCGGATATTGCACAAACAGTCAATAACTATTTAACATGCAAGCATCATGCATACCGGCAAGCAGCTTCTCCACTGTCGATGAGAGCAGTGCCAGTTTGCCCATGGGTGCGCTTTGGTGTGGACTTATTTTAGTATGGTAGGCCCACATACCTAGTAGTTTTTGATGCGTACTCTAATTTACCGGAGGTCGAGCAGACCACAGACACCACGAGATATGCAATGGTCAAAGAATTATCTGCGATCTTTACAATTATAGATTACCGATGGATGTGTGTACCGACAACGAAACCTAGTTCAGTTCAAACGAATTTTATGACTTCCGCACTCAGATATGACTTTCATGCCGTGGCTAGGCCGCAGTCGAGCGGCCTAGCCGAGAAAGGCGTACAGATCGCGAGAGGATCACAATGAAGTTCGCTCATGCACAGGGAGACTACAGACTAGGTGTTCTGAACTACGGGTCTTCACCGCTGAATGATGGCCAAGTGAACTTTTGATGGGGAGAATAATCAGGTCGCGCCTACCCGACTTCACTGAACACGTTCCGAAACCAGTGCACAAGCGTCAACAGAGTTGTTTGCGGGGGGGGGGGGGTAGACCACTTCAGCAATTAAATCCAGGGAGGGTGATCTGTCTCAGGTGGGAAAACTGGACGACGATAGGCTGGACGACGACAGGGTTGCCCCTAGTTCCTACCGGATCATCACTAAAAGGGGAGGGGGCCAAACGCTACGAAGGAGGCTAAAGAGCCTTCTTCCTAACCCGTTCGACTTCAACACAGAAGAGCTGAAAAGTTGTGGTCCAGACCAAGAAGAGGTTCATCAGCACACATCCTTGACGCCGGCATCTTCTCCGTCACGGCCAAACCAACCTGCTGGAATAAGTTTGGCATCTCCACCCACAATGAGAGTGACTGTACTTCCGTTGGAGTCTGCTGGAGGGACATCACAGTGCTTTCGGCGTCGGCCTCAGAAGCTTACGTATGAGGAAGCTTTACAGTAACAGCCGCGACTATTAATTCAACCTTATCCTACGATAGGGGGGGGGGGGGGTGTAACGGCAGAGCCTGCAAGTTGGTCTGCCAACCCAGGCACCCATTATAGAGAACGTTGGGATACAGCGCCATTAAAACTTTGTAATTCTTTTGGAACTTTGCTCTTTTGGGTCATTCATCTTTGGCGACAGTACCGCGACGTTACTGCGATGACCACTGGGTACGTCATATGACGTAATAGTGTTACACTACACCACAACGCAAGATATGTCCTGCGACTCAACGACCGTCGATTAACTGCGCCACGAAAATATTACGAGGTGATCCCCCTTGAAGGGGCATTTAAAAGGGTTCTGCGATTTTCTGTTCTTGGTCGTAACGGATTCTACGCGCCCTAAGCATACTAAAAATTGTAAAAAATTACAATCACGCGACGCCGATTTTCTTGCTAAAAACGTAATGAGAGGTCACGACACACAACTTTCTGAGCCTCTTTTTTCGTCCAGGAAAGGCGGGGGCCCAACAGCGCGCAAACGATGGGCACTCGTCGGTCAATCGCAAGCCACTTCCCTCGGAAAGGCAGCTTGCGATTGAAAAGCGGCTTGCGATTGGCCGACGAGCGCCCATCGTCACCGCGCTGACAAAGCTGCTAGGCTAAGCCCCGCCTTTCCTGAGCGGAAAAATCCACTCAGAAAGGGGTGTGTCCCGACCTTTCATCACATTTATAAATGTAAATCGTGATTGTAATTTTTGGAAAAAAATTGGGTTGTGTGTATGTTTATACAGCCTAGAACTTGGTCTGCCTCACAGGGGTGACGAGTCTCCCAGCTGTAGATGAGAAATTTAGCCAGTGCGGTACAACCGCTAGCCTGGGGTCTTTAAGGTGCATCACGCAGTAGTGATACACGACCGCACGCCGGTACGATGCTCATCCAGATCGAAACGGGCAGGGGTGGGGCTCGATCCCAGGATCCCTGGGTTCTGCAGCGCGAGCTTTCGCTCCACGTGCTCCGAGCTGGTGTGCGCTAGACCACTCGGCCACCGATCCCCCGTAATTTTTGGACTTTTAGAATTCTGAGGGCCCATAGAATCAGTTGTGACCAAGAACAGAAGATCGTAGAGTCCTCTTTATCGCCCCGTTAAGTCCGCATTCTGCGTAATTCGTACTTCATACGTAAAATCAAAGGTTTTTTTTCTTAATATTAATTCTTTACTGTACTGTCCTGACGCTAAGAGTGGCGTTTACGCACGGCAGAAATACTGGGAACTTCTCCCCCTAGCGCGCATCACGTGACAAAAACGTTATGCGATATATTGAGATACGGCGATGTATCGGACGAGCGGATGGGATACTGGGGCTTACACACGATCACAGGTTAAAAGCTTCGTTGGAAATAAGAGTTAAGTGAATGCATGTACACTTTCGCTGTCAACTTGCGATCTTGCTTGGTTTTTCTCACCAGTTCTCGTCTGTGGAGTGCGTGGTCACACCCTTCAAGGACGAATTCCCAATTCTCCGAAAGCATCCTTCCCTTGTCTATTTTCTGGTCTGCCTTGGGATGTGCATCTGCGGAATGCCGATGGCCACCCAGGTAAGTGGAAACTATCCAGCTAAATTGACGCTGCTGGAAGGTCTGTATTTGTTTCTGCTTTAGAGCAAATAGATAGGTAGATAACTTGATAAATGTTTATTTCGGCTCAGGAAAGCTGCGGCGCAGCAAAAAGACGAGTAGTCTATACTGTAAAAGCCCGCGGGGCCGCGTCCAACGATGATGAGATGGCATTGTAGAGAAGGATTAAAAGGATGGTGATGGTAGTTTAAATGAAGCTTGTGAACGAGGGTGAGTGATTTATCTTGCGGTTGAAGAGGGCGAAAAGCCTTAGGCATAGCAGCGGTCTTTGAAACGGTGGGCTTCATGGGCCGCCATGGGCTGCCGACTCCTAGCAGGCCGGTCTAGAGCGCCTGGCGAGGGGTCCCTGCTTGCCCGGCTTGCGGATGAGCAGGCCAAATATCTTACGACGTAGGGAGTTCAGCACCCCCCGTGGTGGGGCTCCAGGAGTTTGTGCCGGTGTTGGCCGTACGGCGGTCTTCGCGAAAGCGGACCCCGAATTTTCCCAGCTTGTGGTCGAGCTTGTAACCGAGCAGTCTGAGCACTCTGTTGATCGAGAACATGGCGTGTGTCACTGGTCCTCCTGGCTCTCTGAGGATGGGAAAAAATACGCCTTGCGTCCATCTGGCTTCTATTTCTCTTCATAATCGCGAAGCCTGTGGGATTGGGGGGGGGGGGGGGGTTCGGGGACTGTATTTGCAGCAGATGAAATGATGACGCAGGCAGTTAGGGCTCCCAGATCAAAGAGCCTCGTAGCTTACGCTTTTATCAGCTGCGCCCAAGTGTCTTCCGCCCGCAGCAAGACTCTTGGCTCATTAGAAAATCGCCGCCAGCTCTATTTTCTTTTTCTTAAAAAAACATTCTTAATGGGAATTTTTATACAACTTTTCATACCTCACATCAGTACATCACAGCACATCACAAAAGCAAAATGGCAAAGCTAAAAAAAAAAGTTCAGCCTTTCCACTCTCCTGAAGAAGGAAGACCAGCGGAGCTGTACTCGATACACTGTGTGCTTCTTCTTCCTCGTCGTCTGTTTTTCGCGCTGTTTCCTGCCATGGATTCCCACCAACGCGCCCAACTATCCATTCTTGTACTACAGCTGGAAAGGTTGGCGCCATCTACCAGCGACGGCGGAAACAATACTGGTTGTGTGCCTGCAGCCGTCGCTTATAGATTGTCGAGGTAGGTCTTTGTCAACATACATGGACACGATCCTGGGGAACCTAGCGCTTAACAGCTCCACTCTAAAACACTTTGCGCTAGTAGATCACACTTCAATCATCAGGATTTAGTCTGACAGGTTTTCACACAATTCATATTGACCTGATTACAGTTGCTTGAGGTGCCCTGGCAGCATCTGGAGGGGGCTCCGCGATGGTGGTGCTTTACATACTGTTGCCTGTGCTTATGTGAGAATCATTGCTGTCCTCGTCCTTCCCCTGGGGGAAGTCATAAAAACCCTCGTCTTGACCTGAAAACCCAAAGGCGGAAATTGCCTTCCTGTTTCGTTTCAGCTCTACTGCAGAGTCTGTTTTCATCAAGTAGAGCCTCGGTTTGGCTGCTGGGGCTATGAATATTGCATCAGAATTTTTGTCGTTTACCAATACTTTCTCGTCCACTTTCAGAGTAGGTAGGCATTTCGCAGTGTGTTGTTTCTTGAAGCCTCTACATTGCTTCTTCATTTTGAAAGTCGTTTTGCACCACCGTTTTCAGATCAGGGTGCATCTGACACTGTTGCTTGAGGAGCATGGACACTCTCGTCCGAAGACGTCGTCCCACCTGAATTTCCGCGGGACCTTTTTCGCTAAACCCGGGGTTGTTCTGTAAGCCAAAAAAGCCAGGTAGAGAACACTATACTTTCGGACAAGACGTTTGACAGCCTGAACCATTATTTATAAGCCGCTATTTGCTTGAGGGTACTCCAGGCTAGAAGTAATGTCACGGAAACTGTATGCCGAGCGAGTTCTTAAAATTCTGAGCTCAAAAAATGTAACCTGTTGTCGGAGATGACAGTTTCTGGCACTCCATATCAAGAAAATATACTTTTGAGTCGTTAAATTGCGATATCCACATGAGTGGAAAAGAGTAGGGCAACATCAAGAAACTTTGACAAGTAACAACCGACTGCGTAGTTGGAGTCGTTTATCTTACTTAAGCCAAAATATGTCACGGGTATGGGGGAGGCACTTTGAATCGTTGGTTATGCGCTTTGGTGGCCAAAACTGCATGTGCACAAATACGGTAGTTGTGCATCGACACTTTTACTTCCTTACTTAAGCTTGGCCACCACCCGCGCTTCCGAGCCCGAGATCGACACCTGACAATATTTTGGTTGGCATCATGTAGACGCAAATACACCTCTTTTTTTAGTTCTTGGGGAACAATTACCCGGGTCACTTTCAACAAGAAACCGTCGCTTGGGTCATCAATGCCCTCTCCTGCCAGAAAGGTCAGGAACAATATGAAATCGAAAGTTTTCCTATCTAGCCCTTCTGAAAAAGTCGAAGTAGCGACTTAAAATCCTGATATTAGAGCGCAGCTCTTAGGCGCCCATTTCCTGCTTGAACGGCGTCGGTGTCGCCGGCGCCGCTCAAGCCGGATGCGTCGGCGTAACACGTCCGCGTCGCCGTAACCGTAACGCGTCGGCGTCGGCGTAACCGCGCGGTGCATTCTAGGAAACGCCCCATAATACACCGTGGTGACTCGCGCGTTGCATTATGGGATGTTTTCCATAATGCAGCACGCGGGAGGGAAGAGGGGGAGGGGGAATGAGGGGGAGGAGAGGAGGAGGGGAGATTAAGGGGGAGGAGGATGGAGGAGGAGGAGCAGGAGGGAGGAGGACAAGAAAAAGAGGGAGGAGGAGGAGAAGAGGGGAATAAGGCGACCAGCACGGGAGGAATATATGAGGAGGGAGGAGGAGAGGGTGCGGATGATGAGGAGGGGCAAACTCTCCCCTCCGCGCCCTCTCCTCCTCCTCCTCCTCAAGAGCTGCGCTCTAATTCGACAGTGCAGAGAGTTGTAAACGTCTTCGACTTTTTGGCTAGATCTTCTTTTAGTTTTGAGACAATGTTGTGTCTTATTTTCAAGCCCATCAAGCAACCCTGAGCAAATTAACTTATTTATGCGACTGTGAGATTGCCGGGAACTGAGCTCCTCCCCTTTAGGGGAGCAGGTTGCAACCCATTGGCAGTAATAGGCTGTTTTCCCAGCACGTACGCGATTTTAAAGCGGTAACGCATTAGCCTCACGCCAAACCCTTGCACGCGAAGTGGTTACACATCTATAGCACAAGTGCCTAGCAACGAAACCAACGTTTTTGGTCAGTCTCGAAAACCGCATCTAGCTCTCTTGGATACTCATTGAACGTTTGAGCGGCCCATGTGAACGCCAGCGTCTCTTTTTCAATTTGCGCATATTGTGTCTCTGCTTAGTTTGACTTCGTAGGCTTCTGATAGCTCTGACTTTTTCAGATTGGGTTTCATACCCTATGCACTGGCGCGACTGTCCAGAAACGTTACTTCGTCTGCTCTGAAAACACATTTCGACCTGTTACGTTAGTCTCCGCCAGCTTATCCAAGGTTTCCTCTAAACCTTCGCCATGTTCGGCTTTGTCTTTCCCTAATATCAAAACGTCGTCCTAGAGGTTCACAACTCCAGGAGGACCCTCCAGGATAACCGACATGCGCTTTTAGATGTACTCTTGCCAACAAGGTTATAGTGGGCAGGATGTGGAGTCTGTATTCTTCATAGATGGAGCTAAGTGTAACATATGTAAGCGTAGCTGCGAGCTTCCCCCTCAGTCTCTCGGCAATTGAGACAATCCTTTTGCTCTATTTTTTCTTCTAATAAGTTGCTCATCTTTTACAAGAGCCTGGGGTAATTTTTATCGTGATTAGGAAACTCAAATAACGAACGCCTCGATGAAGATATGGGGCGAACATTTGTGTTATCATGGAATTGTCGTGGCAATGCGGTTGCTTGCCCAATATCTTTTATGGCGGCGTCCACTGAATTGGCGTGGAACAGGTAAGGTTTAGAGCCCAACACTTGCCTGACCAGAAGGAAGTCGGTGTGTAGAAGTCGCTCTAGACGCCGCCAGGAGCGTCGTCTAGAGCGAGTCGCCATAACGCTACTTTGGAAAGCGAGCGTGTAATTCGTCGTACGCACGAACGCTGACAACGGCACCGCGAGTTCAGAAAGCCGTACAAGCCTTACTTCTAGCGGGTGTTCGTTTCTCTCCGCCGTGATGGGAATGCGGGTTCGCATCGAAACTTCTTTGGTGGGCCGATCGTATCGAAAGCCATCCCCGACAGCGAGTAGACGAGGCAGACCGCAGGCACGGATCAGACGTGGTCTCAGGATAACGTAGTCGACCGAGCGATGGGAGCTTGGATGAGAGCGCATTGGTTTGGAGGCAGTCTGGAATTAAGTTCGTCTTTCCGGCGTCGCTGGCCATGACGTTATTCCGGGTCCTGCCCTATTTAAACGTCCTTGACTCTGGCGCTGAGTTTATTCCGAGTGAAAGACGGGTAATGTAATACTTTTCTGACGGCGTGATAAATGTCATTAGCTCCTCGAAAGTTTTAAGATAACTGAATTTGATGGAACCTAGCGTTTATATCATATTTTAGAAACACAGCCGCATTACCACGCAATTCTAATGCACGGTCCATTGTTGGAAGGACAAACCTCTCTCTGAGCAGGTTTTTGTTCAAGTCGGTTAAGGTCGACACTAATCCTTACGACGCCGGATGGTTCCAGCAGAAGGACTGTACCCTCGCACCTATCCGCGAGACCCTCAAGTCGACGGATTATTCCCATCTGCTTCATTTTTTGTTTCCTATTTCGCTTTTCACAGGATTTTGTATCGGAATTGGAATCCGTCGAGCTGCACTTATCGATGGTTCAGCGTTGGGTACCATGTGGATTGTGTACTTGCTAGAAATAGTTCCAAAGTCACAAATTACTGGTATTTTGAC